AAAACTCCCCGCCCGGGGTGGTTTGGGGTCTCTGAGCATCTGAGTCGGTGAGGGGACCAAGCCCTCGGGACCCCACGGAGCCGGGCAGCTTCCCCGCCAAGGCACAGGGGGTCTGGAGATGGTGCTTGTAGGCTCCAGGACCCTCTGGTTGTGTTGCTGTCTCAGCTACATCACTTCCATGAGGAGGAACCTTCAAAGAACTGTTTGCTGCTAACGGGGGGTTGGTCATCTTTCCTCTGGTGTCTGGCTAGAGCGGGGTTTTCTTCTCCTTATCATGGGTTTGCAGGGTCGCGGCTCTCCAGGTTTCTCTGAGTGCCCTGCTGCTCCCTGGGCATCAGTGGTTTTCTTATCTGACTTCCACAGCCTCCTCAGTTCTGCATTTGTGTCCTAGGGCCGTCATTTCCAGCCTGAGACAGCAAATGGCTTTGGCAGTCAGCGTGCTCCATGTATGCAGAGACCATCCTCAAGCCAGTCCTGAGCAAGCTACAACGGCAGAGGCCAAGCAGGCAGAAGAGGTGGTGGAAGGGTGTTTGGGACATAAAGGGAGAGTCTTCTGCTCAGCTCTTTCTGCCTCAGCGTTCACAGCAGCAATAGCCAGAGGAGACTGTATGGATGGAGGGATGGAGGAAAAGGTAGTGGTCCTGGCCACAACAGCATCTTCCAGCTTCCAGACAGCAATGACCCTTTCTTCCTCACAGTTTCCTCTGCTTCTGCTGCTGTCTGGTGGTGACATCTGGTCTGACTGGTCACCACGACTGGCTGGTTTGTAGATGGAGGAAGACTTCAAGAAACATGTCTATGCCTTGCCAATCCTCTGAGCGCATAGATTCATGTGATACAGCACCATATTGATCCAGCTCACAGGAAAAGATCTTTCTCAGGTCACTTGTCTGGAGCTTGCTTTTCCTGAGCAGAAGGAAAGAGGGATGTTCTGCTTTCAAATCCTTGCATGAGACTTTGAGCTCTCATGGTCTTGAGGTAAGGGTTTTTGTAGTGCGGTTTTTGTTTTCTTTTGTTTTTTTAAATCCCAAGAGGCATATGGATTGTCTGACAGAAGAAGATTTCTTTGTAATTCCCAGCCAAGATCTGGTTTGCTCTGTTGTGGCTGGGCAGAGAAGACAAAAGTTCTTTTGATCTTCTATTCTCATGTTGAGAGGCCTCTCCTGACAGGTGGGAACAAGAATCTGAAGGCAGAAGGACCACTTTTACTACTCATGGCTCTGATATACTTTTGGAAATGATACTGTGAAGCTTTCAGGAATGGTGCGGCTGAGGAGCAAGCTGCAGTAGGAAGGGGTAGATTTGGACTTGCCTGTAGATGACAAAGGAGACCTCTGCAGTCTCTGCTCTACAAGTCAGTTGTGAAGGGAAGAAAGGGGGTTACTTTCCGGTCTGTGCAGCCAGTAATTCTCCTGCCTCTGGACTAAGTGAGAAGACCAAGCTAATCTGGGAATTCACCCTTGCTAGGCTGTAAATGTTAGCAGCTTTTTGGAGTATGTGGTCAGAGCACAGGGTGGTTGAGGATAGAAAAAGGTGGTCTGGGGATTCCTGGGCTCCTCCATGATAAAGAAGGGAACATTCAGTAACCTCAGATGCGAGAAGGAAGTCTCTGGAGCTGGTTGTGGGTGGCTGGCCGCTGCAGGCTGAAAGACACAAAAGGGAACAAGCCACGGGGAATGGGTTGGGACTGTAAGACCACAGAAAGGAGAGGATGCTCCTGCAAAGCCCTGCTGAAGGGGAGCAGCTGCCTGCCTCTTGAGGAGAGTCCCAGCAGAGTCTCGATGCTGAAGAAGTAAGAAATTAATGGAATTTGGTAAGCTGTAGCTGCAGCCAGCTCTAGAGATGGCAACAGATGAAACCAGACACTTCTCCTGGCTTCTGTTGTGGATCAAGAGATAGCATGGACTAGAATATTTTCCAGAAGGGAAAGTCCTTCCTTTCTCCAAGGAGTAATGAGTCTTGTACTATTTCCTGCAGCCCCAGCAGCTTTCTGCAATAGTAAACCTGCATAATAACCCGAAATATGCATCCCATTTGGGAATCTGACCAGGGAAAGAAAATGGAGTTAACAGCTGTATGTTTTGAGTCATCTCTACGCTTTTGTTTAATTCAGTTTCAAAGGATGCATTTAATATGAATAGAGAGCCGAACAAAAGCAACTACATCAGGCTGATGACAAGCCCTCCTGGGACAGCAGTGCAATGACCCAATCAAACATAATTTAAGTGTAATTCTACAGCCAAAGCCTGTGGAGAATTTGCAGAGCTTCAGATCTGAAGATGGCTTAGGCCATCCAACCATGCATGAAGTTGATAGCAAGGAGCAGAGCTTTACGTTCAGTAACAAAGGCTCCAGATGACACTGGATGTGTGTAGATGATGGCAAGCTTTAGTCTACAGAGTTATGGGCCCAGCGTGACTAGAACAGGACTTTCAAAGAAGACTCTTGAGTAGCAGCCATGAAGTTACATTAAGATCTTTTTCTTGATATAAAGAACTCTCTGAGACTTTCATGTCACTCATTTGATCCCCGCTGGAGCTACAAACTCTGCAAAAGCTGAGACTTTCTGCACCACTTTGTTTTGCTTCTTTTATAAAAAGAAGCAACTGTTGTGGGGATTGCTAAAAAAAGCCAACAGTCCCCAAAGCACTGCTTTATTTATCTTCATGTGATCAGTCAGTTCCTATCCAGATCACACCATGTAATAAATAACTCCAAGTCCTAAGATGTTAATCGTAAAATTATAGGAGTAAGGGAAACTTTTTGTACGGTGAGAATGCTAAAACTTGCTGCTCATGAAAGGAGAAAAGGGAAACGGTAAAACCACTTCCATCGACCCAGCTGATCAAGTAGTTTAAGGGATCACCTAGATAAATTTCAACCCTGACACAGGAGTAAACATACTATTTTTAACAATTTTTAGAGAATAGAAAAGTAATACTATGGTCACCTCTAGATTACTAAATGAGACAAGACAGTGGTGTGGGAACTGAAGATGCCAGAATGACATAAGTGGCTGTGTATTGCACTGCTTATGCTTATGAAATCACAGCCCAATCCGGCCAGCTGAAATGCTGAAGAGTCAAAACCCTCCCAGGCATGGGTGACAAGCTTACTGCAAAGGCATACTACAGAAGATTTATTATTATTAGCAATAGCAGTGATAGTCATTTGAAGAGCACCTTGATGTGTGTGAGGTGCCTCTTAGGAGAGATGAAAGAGTGGTTACTCTCAGGCAGCACTGGTAAACTTTAAGGTGTCATAATGTGTGAACAAGTTGGTTTCCAGGGATGAAAGCAGAGAGAAGGGATGAAAGCAGGCTGGAATAGTAGCACTGTGAAGATGATGGAGTTTCTGGTGGTGAATAAGGAAGAGAAAACATTGCTTTTGGGGAAAAAAGAATCCGTCATCTTTTAGTTGGCTGGGGAGGCACTTTGGGAAGGCAATGGAGATCAGAATCACAGAACAGCTGAGGCTGGAAGGTGCCTCCAGAGATTGTCTAGTCCAATCCCTCTGCTCAAAGCAGAGTCACCCACACCATGTTGAAGGCCATGTCCAGTTGGTTTTTGGATATCTCCAAAAGACTCCACAGCTTCTCTGGGCAATCCGTTCCAGTATTTGACTACCCTCACCACGGAAAAGTGTTTTCTGATGGTCGGAGGGACCCTCCTCTGTTTCAGTTTGTGCCCATTGCCTCCTGTCCTGTCCCTGGGCACCAAACCAAGAGTTTGGCTCTGTCTTCTTTGCACCCTCCAGTCAGAGATCCCAGGAATAAAAAGCATCAGGGAAGACAGTCTGCAGGAAACTTAGACAAGCAGCACACTGACAGAGTGACAGAAGAGCGCAGCAATACGGGCCCATCCAATACTGTTGACTTGAATGCACTTCAAGTCACATCTTTGGATGCGAGACTGCACTTGTCAGAGGAAACACGCATGTACATCAATGAAGTCATAACAACACAAATAGGGAGCATTTCCTAGAAAGATTGGATTTTTTCACAGAAAAAACACACCATGAAGCAGTTATGTTATATGAGAACTATGGGTTGGGGAGCTTCCCAGAAAGCCAGCTGCCCCTGTTCCTAATTAATTATTATTCATCTCTGTTTCAGTCCAAAATGAGGTCTGATTTATGGGAAATTACTTACAAAATGAAACATGGAAATATGGAATGGGTGATAATTAATGGCAGCTATGACATGTGCCTGCAAGAATGCAAAGGGCATAAACATCCAGGAATGCAAGGTTGACATGGGGTGACACTAAAGGGTTCTCCTATGAGTAAATGAATAAAGACAATATATTTCCTCATGGAGATGCTATTAACTCATGGAGTAAGCTTGGAAGAGAAGGTTAGGCGACACGGTGGAAAACATGTTCCTCACTCCTACCCTGAAGAGTCCACTACAGAAAAGCCTTTTGTCTTGGATCTTTGTGAAGGCTCAAGTTAGATTTATGTGCTGCAACTTTATGCTTCATTTTGCAGGTATGATGTGTACTTAATTATGACTTTTTGTTTCCCTGTTAAGACGCTGATACAAAGCAACAAAGTTCTGGTTTTCAATGTAAAGAGCAAAAAAGAATTTGAGGAAATATATTTGAGTCATGGATTTTTAAAAATACCACTTGATGAAATAAATGATGTTTGGATGGAAAACCACAAATGTGATCATGCTCAATATCAGAAGTAAGGCTCTTCCAGCCTTAAGGCACAGTAATTTTAATGCATTAATGTTCAAAAAGGACAGGATTATCTTTGGAACCATGAAGAGTTTGCACCAATCACCTAAATAAACATGCCACGTGATTGGACAGTGAAGCAGTAACGATCAAGTTGTCAGGAGTGATTTACATGTAGTTCATGCTTCCCTGAGGCAAGGGACAGAACTAGATGGCTTCCCGAGGTCCTCGATTCCCTGTAACCATAGGCTCTATGACCTGAAGATGAAGCTGACCACTAGAATATAACGACTTCCACTGCCTACTGCCCTGGGAGTGGTAGGTCATCTCCAGCACTACCCCATCAATGCTACATTTAATTCTTCTCAGCTTTAAGTTCTCATGGGCTTGGTTATTTTCACAGCATACTTTCATTCTGTTATGCCTCATGCCTGCAACTAACTACAGAACAAGCAACAAGAATATAATTTTTGCCTCATGACATTTTCATTTCATGCCAACAGCAGGACACGCACAAACTCTCTGCCACTCCAGCAGACGCTGCTCCTCACCTAGTGGGAGCTGAGATGCTACTAGAGAAGAGATGGCAGGCTGTCTGAGCACATGAAATGGTCTGTAAGAGCCTGTGGCTGTCCTAGATTCTCCCACGCCATCTTCACTGGAGGGGTCTGAATTGCAGATGAAGGGCAGTGAATGGCCTAGAGTATCTATCAAGAGTGATGTCAGTTAATGACTACCCCGGGGATTCAGCAATGAACTGGTGCACTGTGAGTTAATGACTTCCAGGCTTGATAATTGGCAATGCTACCACTATTATTTTGCAAGGAGACTTCAGTGTTTTTTCATGAAGCCGGCCAACCAGAATGTTGTTGATCTGCTGTTTGATTGCCTGTTGCACAAGATAGTGGTGAAACTCTCACTACCTATTTGTTGACTTTTCTTTCCCTTCATGCTCTCTCTACCAGTATACACAGATATGTCATTGTCTCCAAAGGAGAGTTCACTCTTTGGTAAACAACATCATGAAAAAGGCCTTATTCCTTTCCAAACTACAACTCAGCCTTCTAAAGATGGATGTCGACAAGACACTGGTGAATTCAGACAGAGCTTTGAGATTTCTCAGAGGGTTTGAGGACTTCCATTGTCAGACATGGCTATTGTGCTATGAAAATGACTCCCAGCTGAAAGAGTGAGAAAACATTTTAAAGGACAGCTCAACAGTATTAAAAAAAGCTGGATACCCTGGCACCCCAGGGGAAAAGCTGCTAACAAAGTTAGTGAGATGGGGTGGGACAACATTTAAGTGTCACAATAATTTCATTGCATAATCTTTGTCCTGCTTACCCCCAGCTCTCACCAAAGACAATGGAAGCATGGGGTTTTCAGTTCCTTGCAGGAGACAATCAGAGTCTTGCATCATCAAGTCCTTTTTATTTTTTCTACAAGATTATAAAAGACAGAAATGCATTCTTGACTGCAAACTAACATTCAAAGTCTCACGAGAATAGATACCGCTCCCTTGGCCATAAAACTTTGGCGAGGACTCAAGATGACCGTGATGAATCTCATGGAGAAGCAAGCCCAAATAAACACAAATTGAATAAACAGAGAATGCAGTCATCCCACCAACAGATGAGCTTGGTGAGTCCTTGTCTCTGCAGCCCCTCTACGGTACTGTGTTACTGCTCTGACTGTGTCAACTACAGCTTGCTAATGAAGCTGCCACACTGGGCATTCAAGCCCCTTACCATTTTACAGATGGACTTGGCCTCCTCAGAAAACTTATGGGAGTACACCTCTTCTGTCTCCAGCACTCTTCTGTCCACTTCTTCCCTCTTCACCTTCTCTTTCCTTCCACGAAATGGTGATTGCCCAGCAATCATTTCATAAATGAGGCAGCCTAGCCCCCAGTAGTCAGGGCTGAGTGTGTATCTCTGGTTGTTCAACACTTCTGGAGCTGTGGAGGAGAAAGATGTGCCTTGTGGGAATGCTTGATATTTACATAGGCAGAAAACTTACATTTCTAAAAGTTCCATTTTGGTGACTGAATAAACATGCACAGAGAATGGTGGGTAAAATATAAAAATAGTCCCTGATATCTCTTGACGGCATCACAGAAAATGCAGCATGCTGCGTGCCACGTTTTTTTCTCTACATGCTACATGCTATGTGGGTGCTGTCTTCTGACTTCTCTACCAAGGCAGGCCAATTGAAAAAACAAAAAGAAGTCGAAGCTAAGTATTAAGCAGAGGCCCAATCTTAAGAGTCCTTCCAGACTTCTCCATTTAGGGAAGAAATGACACAGAAACACACATCCTGTAAACCACAGTGACATTTCTTCAAAAGTAAATTCTGTCTTTTGGATCAACTTATAACTTGTTTTTTCCACCCTTTGAAAAAAAAAAATCAATTTATTTCATGTTGCAACCACCCAGTGAGCTTTGGGCATATAGTCATTGTCTTGCAGGCATCCTCACTGCGGACAAACACACACAAACATGTGCTCACAAGTGCAGGGTCGTAGTGTGCGCACAAACTTACACTGAGGTAATAAAATTTAGAAACGACAACTGATTTGCTTGCTTTCATTAAAGTCTCCATATGGTGTAACAGTGGCTCGTATCGTCCAGCTTCTATTTAGTCAAATAAGCATAAGGAATTTTTATTCCAAGAAATATGCCCACCCAGAGAATGCATGAAAATAATTACATTGAGTTTATAAAACAGTTCTAATAAAATCAGGGAGTGTTTTTTTTACCAATGCCCAAAGCTCTACCCTTCTTTTGTGCAGCCTCCTCTGCGCATAGGGGAAGACTCAAGATGACCGTGGTCAAGATGACCATAGGTGTGCACTTACCCATTTTATCATAAACATACAAATACATTTAAACTATTGCAACCAGAAAGCAACTTTTCTTTTAGCACATAGCCCTCCAAAAATAAATCTACACTAAAATCACTTCAGTCCCAGTTGTCTCCCCTTTTAATTTCCTTTGCTGATTTAAGATTATAGACGAGTCTCATTAACAGCTGCCGTGGTCCATCCTTTCACCCACTTCTGATTTCACAGAATCACAGAATCACAGAATGGTAGGGGTTGGAAGGGACCTCTGTGGGTGATCTAGTCCAACCCCCTGCCGAAGCAGGGTCACCCCGAGCAGGCTGCACAGGACCGCGTCCAGGCGGGGCTTTACTATCTTCCGGGCAAGAGTCCCTGGGCAGCCTGTGCCAGTGCTCCGTCACCCTCAGAGGGAAGGAGTCCTTCCTCATGTTCAGGTATAGCTTCCTATTGCCCCTTGCCCCTTGTCCCATCACTGGGCACCACTGAAAAGAGTCTGGTTAGTTCCACTAACCTGACTTCTTGGTGGGTTGCTGCAGGGAACTGGACCCAGCTGAATGCAAGTCTTTTTCTATTCTTTTTCTTAAGCTTATGTGGCAGAAAGATCTTTGAAACTCGAGTAATCTCAGCAAAGTATCAAAAAGATGATCTACTGAAGACTTACCCATATACCCTACTGTTCCTACTCTTCCACGGATTGATTCACCCTCAGGGATTTTAACAGCTAGACCCAAATCAGATATTCTAATATGGCCTGGAAGGAAAAAAGAAACAAAACAACACAAAGCAGATACAGTAAGGTGACCCAAATTAGTCCAAAACCACAACTGTTGCCATTGCTACCAATACTCTTACAATTTACTGTTCAGACATTTTAAGAAAAAAGTGTTCTGAATTGCTGAATTGCAGTCGTTTCATTGATAAGGAAAAGAGGAATTATTAAGGGCATCACAATGCAGTGGAATTAATTTTAACAGTGAGGCTACGGACTAGATTGTGTTAGATATTGTAAAACCAACTGAAAAAAGGCAATGAGAAGTACGCGGTGGGGAGGTATCTTGAACTGAGGACAGGGGATGGATGGGCTTATGGAATTCTGTAACTCTGACGGCTGAAGGGGCTACATCTGCTCTGTAAGTCAGCGTGAAATTTGATTATTGCTGCCTTCAGCAACAAACGGATACCTGGGTTTGCATAAAATGGGAGTTGGCGCAGCAAAGGATGAAAGTACTTTTGAAAATGGGGTGGGGAGCAGAGATTTAGAAATCCCAACTTCCTTTGTGTTGTGTCAGCCTTGCAACAACAAGCATGGAAAAAGCCAGGGATAAAAAGGCCGACATCCGCAGCAAAGCTGTGCTCTCGAGAACAGACCCTGCTGAGCAGCACGGCTGCTTCACTCCACCCGTGCGGTGAGCTCCAGCACTTCGCCCACCCCAAGACAGGAGTATTAGTGTACGCTGAGCCTCTTAGTCACTTCAGAGCATTATTTGTCTTTGTGCAACATATATCCTAAAACTAACTTAATCTACTTTACTGTGAAAGCATCTGTGTAAACCACTGAGACTTACCATAATCATCTAGCAGGATATTTTCTGGCTTCAAATCTCTGAAAATGAAAGACAGGCGTTATTTCTGTAAAGCTGGTTTTGATAACATAACCATACGACAGAGTGTGAGTGCATTTATTACTCGTAATAAACCAATTGAGTGTCAACTCAAACAGCAAGGAACTCATGGAACCAGTACAACTTTCTACAACTCACTTCACAGATAGACTGAAACCATATGTCTTTTTCTAAGCTGGAGTTGCATTTTTTCACTAAGCCAAGCTTTTAGGTCCTAATCCACTCTATAACGGACTCATCCATCTAGCCCTGCAAGCCCTGTAAACCAAGCCCTCTAGTCCTGTGTGTTGTTAAATTTCTGTCACATTTTCTGTTATAAAATATTTTGTTAAAAATAAAAATATTTGAAATTTTGAAGTACTTCATTTGCATATGAAAATGGAAATAGCAATCTGTTGGGCTCAAAGTTTCCATGCCTGGCATTGGACTCAGACCAAATATGCGAATGTGTGTACATGCACTTGCACACATGTGTAATAATTTCAGCAAGTTTGGAAAACGAGGGGAAGAGGGGGGAATGCTGTGCCCAGATTAAAATTCTTCTTACAAACATTTGTGAAACTCTAGTGCGTATGTGGTTTGGAGCAATGCCATGAAAATTGGCAAGGTGGTCACTCTGATGTCAAAGATGTGCCTTCTACTGCTCCTGTGGAAAAAAAACCTCCGAAATCTGGCCAAGTTATAAACTTCTGGGGAAAAAAAAAATAAAAATCTCAGTTTTCACACATTCAGCAGAGCCTTGGCAGGTCATTCTTCTGAAAGGTTTGCCTGCACCAAACCCGCTCCACCAGCTGCCGCTTCTAGCAGAGCGGGAATGAAGCCAGCCCGGGTGATGGGGCCTGGAGGTGTCGGGAAGATGGGGACGTGCTGGGCAGGGATGTCCCAGGAGGGCCGTGCGACGGGAGAAGGCTGCGCTGGCTCAGGAGCCTGAGTAAGGCACCAGGGCGGCCGGGGGAAGCAGGGAAAAACGTATCGCTGCAATTCACAGCGTCATGCCCTGACTTTTATCTGATTGACTCCTACTGAAACACAGCCTTCAGCCTGGTGCAAATCCAAGAAGTGCTTGGCCTCGTCTGTTTTTAAGGCTTCCTCGCATTTGTGACCCAGCTTGATTCTGTTAGCTTCCCAGCAAGACGCGTTTCTTTTCAAAGAGCAAAGAGAGGGGGGCCCACGAGAGAAAGCCTCGCACCAGGAGACCAGTGCACTGCACAGAGCCTGTGCAGGAGCCCGCCCTGTGTTTCAAGCCGTACCGCTTCAGCGTCGTGAACTTTCCTGTGAATGGAGAGGGGTATTTTATAGTTTTGACAATGCTGAGATTAAAATTTCAAAACTTGTCTCATTTTTATTTATTATTTCAAGCAAGAACATAGAGCGCTATGAACAATCTCCTCTTCTTGCTTGCTTCAGACCCTCTTGACCTCGCAAGATAAACTTTACCGGGTGCCCAGTGGTACCAAGCCTACTTTTCAAATAAACAATACTGAAATATGTGAAGGGCAGCTGAATGCAGAAGAAAAGCTGTGATTTTGTTTAACATACCACTGCGGGCTTTCCCTGCCTATCACCAGAAGATTTCCAAAGCTGCAGCAACACGGTCGAGGTTGTTGCCTATTTATTTTTAAAAATCTATTCCGAATCCCTTAAGAACTATTTCCTTGAAGAACTGAGACTTCATTAGTCACTTCATCTTCCACTCCAGCAGTTATTAGTCCCACTTAAAGCTGTAACTGTGGCCAAATGACAAGAATCCTGCTTGCAAGTTGGGAAATGTTGTCTTTGAAGGAGAAAATGAGAGAGCCCACGAGGACTCTGAGAACAGCAGCTCAGTCCTGACAGACCCCTGTGATTTCAGGGAATCGGGGCAGTCTTTCCTTCCCCGCAGACATCAGTTGTCATATCTGCTTTCAGATTTCTGGTTCCTCAGGATCAAGGATGGTTGGCTTCCTTCGCATGGCCAACACTTCCAAGAGCCAAGGAGGAACGTGATCCTGGTACTCAAATGTCTAGGAGAAATAAAACTCCCCGGTGGACAGAGTTACATGCAAGCGTACTTCCCAATGGTACGGCTTCCCGTATGTAAACTAGCCTTGCCTAAATACACTGAAACATAAACTGCAGGCGCTGCGCCAGTGCTAGAAAGGCGATGGTCCATTGTTTGGCTGTACAGGACAGCATAAACATCTCAATTAATCACGCAGGACAAGGCTTTACTGTATGTTTGTGTAATGCCGAGGACAATGTGATCTTGATGTTGACTGGAGCTTCCAGGCACGACTGTGTTGTATATATAAGTAATTTATATATGTAACAGATAATAGATAATAGATACATATAAATAAAAATTAATATATGTTTTTATATAAATAATTCGAGGAGAACCAGCAGCGTTTTATGTTTGCTTTCCGTGAGCAATTGACCCGTTGACCTTTACTGACATGGTGCAGTTGAGAAATGTAACGTAAGCACCATGTTTAGCAAGGGAATTCTAAGTTAGATAAATCTGACTCTGAGCCTGGTTGTTCTCTCGGATCACATCCGCAGCGTGCGTCACTGGCCCATGAGATGGGGGTGTATTTTCCAATGCTGTGTTTTACTCAGAAGCATTTTGTTCATAGAAAATGAAATTAAGTCTAAGGCATAAGTGTTTTGCAATGAATTATTCACCTTGAGAAAGCGGTAGCATTTAGCTGCTATGTTTTATTGACCTATATATAACTTCTCATGGGTCCCAAAACACGCTGCGGTATTGCAAATTAGGGGTCTCTGCAGATGCTCCTAAAATACTGTTAGAAAATGTCACCTACAAGGATATAATATCATTCATCGCCACAATGAAAGTGCCATCTGAGTTGTAAACTAGCAGCTTTTTTAAGAGTAACATGAAAACAATTGCTTAAGGAGGTGGGATGCCATTTCTCTGAGAGCTATGTACTATTTTAGGTGGCCGGATCTAATTTGTTTTATTAGAAAGTGGCATTAGTATGGCATTTTACCAGCTGTGTTATGAATGTACCAGTCATTTTCATCAATAAAGTATGCTTGTAATCTAGTATTTTTTAAAGAAACACTACAATACCTCCTACAACTTTTTTGAATGAGGTAGGATGTTTTTTAAAGAAAAGGGAAGCCAGACACATCGCTCATTATTTGCTTTTTCTGTTGACATTAAACACTTAATTCCATTTTTTTCCTTGAGAAAAAAAATCTCCTTCCTGGGCCAGTGCCAACTGAAGCAGCATGTTATCTGTCTGCCCTCCTTATGCCAGCTAGCAAGATCTGAGTCGCAGTGAGGCAACCGAGTGGCAGTTTGCTAGGGATCTCCTCCAAGGAACACCAATATCGTAATTTCTATGTATACAAGGATGTGCATAATGCTTATTACACATGGGCATATAAAATGATCTAGTGTGTGGCTTAGTTTTTAAAAATAACATATTGTTGGCTATTAATCATTGTTCTTGGAAGCTCTTTCATCAATTTACAGGACCTCTTCTGCTGTGAATGCCAGCAATAATGATTTCACAAGCTGGGATGTGAAGACAAAGATGAAATGTTGTTTACAACTACATTGGTCACTGATTAAAAAAAATAAACCCTCGTGGAGCCACAAGAACTCTGTCTGCAGTCACCCTGCTTATCCAGCAAGCAAACCCTACGGTGCCCTGGAAAGGCGCTTGTTAGAGCTGTGAGCCTGACTGGAAGCTGAGAACTGGAGATGTGTCCTTCCCGAATCCAGCTGCCTGTCCCTGCGCCGGGCAGCGCTCTGCCCGCCGGCTGCACCCG